AATCGAACAATGCGTACTTTGATCTTCCAATCCTCACGAGATTGATTAATGGAATGAATGCAATCAAATGTTGCAGCCATTTGAAAGAACAATATCACTGTTAGAAATTTTACAAATGATTGAGTTTGCCTCACACTGTGTGGGGATGCCATTTTTATATATGACTCTCTTAGTTCGCATGCCATGCAAGTTAAGAACGTGTGAAGGAAAGGACAACCCATGATCTCAAAGCAAGACTACACGTTTAGCAAGAAAAGGCATGGAGAAGTGGGAAAAGTGGGGTGGAGATATGGGGTGGGATAGTTATAAGAAAAACCTCAGACGATATTTCAGTTTTTACGCTCTTAAAATGTTTTCCTAATTTGTTGTCTTCCTTTATTAAGTTAAACGAATTTAATTCAATTTTTATTTGTTTATTTATATTAATTTTCTATTTAAATGATAGAATATTGAATAACTAACCATATCTAAAAAGGAATCGTGGAGTTAGGAAATTATTAGATTACGGGCTAAGAAGTTACCAAAATAAATAATCTAAATAACTATCTATATTTAAATTTAATTATATGCATGAATAAAAAAAGAAAATTAAGAATTTAATAAATAAGAATTTCATTTTATTGTTTACATGTTTGCACGAGATGACAATTAAAATATCAAAAAAAAATATGTTGTTATATTTATTTTAAATATTATAATTTAACTTAATATCCATTAATTACTCAATCCATAAATCATATATATTTAATTAAATTATAAATGAGAATTATATTAATTAATAACATATAAAGAATTTAATGTAATTATTTTATTAAGTCATATGTTTATAATTCAGTTTTTATTTGTTTAATTATATTAATTTGCTATTTGAATGATAGAATATTGAATAACTAATCATATCTAAAAGAGGAATCGTGGAGTTAGAAAATTATTAGATTACAGGCTAAGAAGTTACCGGAATAAATAATCAAAATAACTATCCATATTTAAATTTAATTATATACATGAATCAAAAAAATAAAGAAAATTAAGAATTTCATAAATAAGAACTTCATTTTATTGTTTACATGTTTGCACGAGATGACAATTAAAATATCAAGAAAATTATGTTGTTATATTTATTTTAAATATTATAATTTAACTTAATATCCATTAATTACTCAATTCATAAATCATATATATTTAATTAAATTATAAATGAGAATTATATTAATTAATAATGTATAAAGAATTTAATGTAATTATTTTATTAAGTCATACGAATTTAATTCAGTTTTTTTTTGTTAATTTATATTAATTTTCTATTTGAATGATAGAATATTGAATAACTAACCATATCTAAAGAGGAATCGTGGAGTTAGAAAATTATTAGATTACGGGCTAAGAAGTTACCGGAATAAATAATCTAAATAAATATCTATATCAAGAAAATTATGTTGTTATATTTATTTTAAATATTATAATTTAACTTAATATCCATTAATTACTCAATTCATAAATCATATATATTTAATTAAATTATAAATGAGAATTATATTAATTAATAATGTATAAAGAATTTAATGTAATTATTTTATTAAGTCATACGAATTTAATTCAGTTTTTTTTTGTTAATTTATATTAATTTTCTATTTGAATGATAGAATATTGAATAACTAACCATATCTAAAGAGGAATCGTGGAGTTAGAAAATTATTAGATTACGGGCTAAGAAGTTACCGGAATAAATAATCTAAATAAATATCTATATTTAAATTTAATTATATACATGAATCAAAAAATAAAGAAAATTAAGAATTTCATAAATAAGAATTTTATTTTATTGTTTACATGTTTGCACGAGATAACAATTAAAATATCAAGAAAATTATGTTGTTATATTTATTTTAAATATTATAATTTAAATTAATATCCATTAATTACTCAATTCATAAATCATATATATTTAATTAAATTATAAATGAGAATTATATTAATTAATAATGTATAAAGAATTTAATTTAATTATTTTATTAAGTCATACGAATTTAATTCAGTTTTTATTTGTTTATTTATATTAATTTACTATTTGAATGATAGAATATTGAATAACTAACCATATCTAAAAGAGGAATCGTGGAATTAGGAAATTATTAGATCATGCGTTAAGAAGTTACTGAAATAAAAGAATAAAAATAAATTATATTCATGAATTAAAAATAATTTTATAAATAAAAATCTTACGTGACTTTCTAAAATTATACTATTTAAAAAAATGACACTTGTCATTCATAGAGATACGCTTGTTATTCTTCTATTATATATATATAGATTTCTTTACTAATTCAACTTTGTACTGAGGAATGAATGACCTTTTCCTAAATATCCTTGCTAAATCAAATTTTTTCTGTGGATGAGAGTCCCATCCATAAATGTTCTTTTTTAAATCAAATTTTTTAGGACAAATTGGTTCATTGGCCAAAAAAATTTTTGTGTCCAAAAAATATAGATCAGATTTTTATAAATTTAAAAGTGTAATTAATTTACATTAACATACAAAAAATTTATTATTAATATACAAGAAGTTTATTATTGATATATAACAGTATATCATTAATAAATATAATAAACTGATCATAATATAAAATATAATAAATATTAGATTGTTTATGTGATTTAATCCTGTATAGAGATTATATATGCAAAAGTCCTAAATGTATAACGGTGAAAGAGTCCTCTTAATTTTCAAGGTTGAGTAAAGAATCTCATTCCTGTGAATCATTTCATTATTTGGCTAATAGGGTCTGTAATTAATCAAATATCCTATTAAACTTTATGTTTTATACGAATGATCCCTCAAACTAATGATAGTACTTGCTTCTAACATGATAACATGGTATATTATTATATACCTTGACAGAAAAATTATTCTTAATACTTATTTATAAATCACAATTAGTTAAAATTAATTGATATTCTTAAAATTATCTCATCTCTTTTTAAAAAATTAACCTATAAATAAAAAGAAGAAGAAGTTCAGTTTATTTACAAGGTTGACTTGAAAGTGATTCAATATTCCAAACGGTGGTGGTGGACTGGCGCCCCAGCGGCTGAAGAATGGAACGAGATGGGATCATAGGGGGACCCACCCACCCTCACGTGTTTAGTCTCTTATGGCTCCCGCAACTTCCACGTCCGTTCCCTCCATACATACTATAAATTATCATAATCCTCCCACATCAAACCAACGAGGGCCCCACCTGCCATACTAACGCTCTTGTGCCCTTAGATCACTGTGTGCTTTTGTAGCAGTTTTGGCTTCCATGTAATTGACTTAATGTGTATATATATATATATATATATTTGGGTAAGAACAAATGAATTTTTCTTTTTCAATTATAGTTAGAAAAAAAATTAATCCCTTCATTTAAAACTATAAAATATTTTTTAAAAAGTTAGATGTTTAAAAATATAAATTATTTTTTAATCTTTCAAAACGAATAATGTCCTTATTGATAAATGACTTTATATTTATTGTAAGGTGTTTAATAGAGGTAAACATGAACAGATAGGATTAGTTTGAAAATATATAACTAATTTATTGAGGTGAAATTCAATTAAAAATATCTTGAGGGAGTAAATTTTAAAATTTTTATATTAATTACGTTAAAATATAATAACTAGCATCATTTAATGCATTTTAAATTTATTAAATAGCATATTTATGCTTCCACGCTTTCTTTTGAAATTTGATGTTTTTATTATTGATAAATTTAAAATTTTTATTATTTGTAATTTATATATATTATTTAAATAAATCTAATTAAGTTTTTTTAGTATACATGAACTCTTTTAGTTTTACAGTTACAATTTTGGTTTTAACATTTTTCTTAAATTTATCAAATTGCACAATTATATGTGTGAGAAGGAGAGAAAACATAGAATTCATGTCTTTTTTATTTTTTTATTTTACCAGTCCCTGCCCTTCTTAGTTAATATATATTTGAACCTGTTTTTTTAATTATATCATTTAAACAAGTTTCAGTATGTCAAATTGACCTTTTATAAAAGATTCTCTAAACATTAGAATCACATTAGCAGTTATGCAAACGTTAATCCCAACAGGTTTTGTATTTAAGACATGTCCACATCTAATATATTACTGTGCCTCAAATATAATTATTTTTAATAAAAAATACATTTGAGCTATAAAAAAGATATCTTTGAGCAATAAAACAATATAATATTCTTGCTAACAAGTGTTGGTTCTCATAAAAGAGTTATGGCTATTTAAATAAAAGGTTTTGAATTCAAATTCGTGTAAATGTAAAATTTTTTTTAAAGAGTTATCTTCAATTGTGTCTAACAATACTTAAATCTAACACAATCAAATAGTTATATAAAAGGGGTTAATATTTCCATATCCTATTCATTTTTTTTTTGTTATATTAAAAAAGGAACAAGCTAGAGTGCCATAATATTAGCACTAATGCACCATACTCCATAGAACTTTGCGATTCAATTTGTTTGGGTGAGGGTAGTATTATAATGTATTATCTTTAGAGAAGTCATTGTCTTGTGCCTCTTTTTATAATAATCAATATATAGATATATATAGTAATACTAATACCAATATATAGAATCAATTATTGATGATGATATCACTTTGTACAGTTACATAATTATATCATATAAGATAACAAAATATAAATAGTAAACATGTACATAATCATAATAACATTATATAGAATCAATTTTTTTATCATTAATATATATAATCTAAATACTAATTTAATACAATTTTGTATATGTCCTAGTTCTTTATTTAAAAGGTGAATATTAATAAAAAAATGTAAAATTTATAATATATGTTACTGTTCCTTATTATTATGAATTATTTCTTCAAACTGGCAAAGAACTTTTCTAGATGGATAAAAATATCTTTTTAAAAAATATTTATGTGAAAAATACGAATAATATAAAAGCTCGAAGAATTTCCTGTCTGTCTGCCGTTTTAAATATGTCGTTGGCTTCAGCCTTCCCTTCCTTTCTTCGTTTGTAAATTCCTCTATCTTGCTTTCAGATTCTACCCATATATTCTCTTCGTGGTCTTCTTTTCTCTCAAACATGGCTGCTCTTCAGAAACACGCTGTTGAATTCAAGGATCCACGAAGCGTAGATCTCAGGCTTCACAGTGGTCATCACGCCGGCGGAGAAGTAGAACCCACGAAGGCTCCGATAAACGGACCAAAAGAAGAGCTGGATTCGGAGGAGCGGTCCCCGGAGGCGATGCAGGTTATGCCGGTGGCGGTGCACGTGCCGCAAAAGAAGGCTTCGACGAAGGACCGTCACACCAAGGTAGAGGGGCGAGGCCGGAGGATCCGAATGCCCGCAACGTGCGCTGCTCGGATCTTCCAGTTGACCAGGGAATTGGGTCACAAGTCCGACGGCGAAACCATCCGGTGGCTTCTGGAACATGCGGAGCCCGCTATCATTGCCGCCACCGGCACCGGCACAGTCCCCGCCATAGCCATGTCTGTTAACGGGACCCTTAAAATCCCAACCACCCCATCCGCCAGCAACAAGCCCGAACCCGATGATCCACCCGAAAGAAAGAAACAAAAGCGATCGACGAAAAGTTCACACGCAGAGCTAAACGACGGCGTTTCACTTTCCGTCGGCCTTGCCCCGATATCAGCAACGGCGACGACGACAAAGCCAAGCATCACAACAGTTGATAATATCCAACAAGCAACAATACCGTTAGCGCAAGGGTTAGTGCCCATGTGGGCGATACCATCAAACGTCATCGTTCCACCGGGTACGTGCTTCTTGGTCCCGCCGATGGGTTCCCTCGCCGGAACTTCCTCCAGCCAGCAGCAGTATTTCGCCATCCCGGTGAATGCGACGCCTCTGATAAACATTCCGGCGAGACCCATATCGGCCTTCGTCTCGTTAATGGAGAACATTGTAGCGCCGGTTCAGCTCCAAGCGGCGACAATACCTCGGTGCTCAACTGCTCCGTCCGGGAAACTGCCGACTGAACCGACGATTCGAGCAACGAGCTCAACCTCTGGTGCCACTACCTCAAGCACAACCCAGACGCTAAGAAAATTCTCATTAGAGATTTACGATAAGGCGGAGCTTCAGCTCAAGTCCGGCTATTCATAGCCGTGAGGAAAACGAAGAAAACACAAGAAGCATGTTAAAACGATGCGTTCTGGAAGAGAATTTCCCAGACGGAAGGGAAAGGTGGTGGGGTTCTCGTTATCACGGAATCCGCCATTGATGACGTGGGTGGAGGGTTTGCCGTCTGTGGAGTGGGAACAACGTGAGGTGGGAGGCGACTGGCGAGGGAGGAGATCACGTGCGCACGTGAAGAGAAGTGGATTACAAGGGATGGTGGGGCCCAGTTGAGGTGGAGTGGGGCCGAAAGACTCAAAACTGTGTGCTGTAAAGCGAAAGCGGGAAGGTGGGGCTGGGGACACACACTCCTACTTGTTGCTTCTTGTGTGGACCGTGGAAATTGGGACAGTAGAGAGAAATTGTATATGAGGTTTTTCTGTTTTTTCCCCCTCTCTCTCTCTGTTTTTTTTTTTTTAAGAGCCTTCTGACTACTTGGGAATAAATTAATTTCATATTATAAATGATTTAGATTTGTGGGCCATGCAAAGACGGCTATGCATATTCATAAGTTTTAAATTCCTCCCTTTTAAAAATATATTCTAGATTGCTGTGCAACCAAATTTACATTTGCGCATATTTGGAATAGATACAGAGGTGTTTTAGGATCAATTAACATTTTAGACTCTATTCCCTATATTTTATATATAAAATGTTTTTTAAAACTCTATAAATATAAAATATTATTAACATATTTTTTAATAAATAGATTATTATATTCTTATTACATTAAAAAGGAAAAAAATATAAGTACTTATAAATTTCCTTCAAAAATATATTATTTTTTATTTACAATAATTAAAATAAAATTAGAATGGTGTTGTGCTTTTAAGTAGATAATTAACTTTTATTAATTTACATAATTTAATTAAAAATATCTTATATATAAAAAGAAGGGAGTTAATTATTACTCGAATAGCATTCTCAATTCTGAACTTTTAAAATATACAAAAATTTTCTTCAACTTTAAATTTTGAGCATCTAAATTAAACACAACGGTCTTTTTTCCCAATTTAATGATGAAATTTCAGGCATTCAGAGTTTAAAAATTGAAAAATTTTTTACAAATTTAAAAAATTCAAGATTCATAATGCTATTCATGTAATAGTTTAGAATATAGAATGTTCATTAACTCTATATTTTATAAATATATTTAAAATTATGCCAAATTAAACATCTTCCTCTTGTGTGCATTTGCTCACCCGCAAAAAAATCCAAAAAAGTAAAGGGAAAATCTATTCATAGAATATGTTGTAAGAAATTATTAGTATCTTTACTTTCAGTGTGGTACAATTTTATCTATGAACAATAAAAAATAGTGTAAAATTTTCAAATTAATATGTAACAAAACTCAAATGTCCATTAAGTAAGGATTATGGCTCTCACCCATTATATCACGTGTAAAATACGTGTTAGAAGCAAAACCATTCGTGCAATTTTGCTTAAAAAATGTAAAAAAATAGTGTTAAAATTAAACAAAGATATAAATTGGCAAATATTAACCTTGAATGTCAAAATAATTGAGATTTTGTCAGACTCAAACTATAATTGAGAAAATAAAGTGTTTACATTTGTCGTAACTGGCATAAATCTTAAGCAAAATATTTTATTTTATCACACTCCATGACTAGAAAGTGAGAGAAAAAGGTTTGAACTAGCTTCGATAGTGTGAAGAAGAGAGAGGCAAGTGTTGGGTAGTTTCCGGATAAATTTTAAATCAAAATGTGTTTATGTGACTATGATGGATGACAAAATACTTGAGTTATGGTAGCTTCCAAGTGCGATATGAATTAGAAATTTTTACACTACTTTTTTATTTTATAGATAAAATTGTATCATACTTAAGTTAAAGATGTTAATAATGCCTCACAAAATATTTGAATAAAATTTCACCTTAACTTAAAAAAAAAAAAAAGCCTTGTCACATCATCTGAAAAACAATGCTGATAATTTGTCTCTTGAAATATAAGTTCAAGACCGTAATGGAAAATGATGGTGTTTTGTGTTTACGATGTCACTTTAACCTTGTCATTGATTACTATTATATATATATATATACACACACACACATACATATAGTCATATAGTAGTTAGAGCAGGTAATTTATGTTAAGTCAAAACTCGCCCAACAAAAGTTAGAATCGAGCCTATTTATATCAATTTTTTTAAAAAATAAAATACTTTAAATTTAATTTAAATAAGTCGGCTAGAGTTAAGCCAAACCCAAATAAGTCTAACCGTTAAATTTTTTGACTCTATGTGTATGTAGAGTTAATAATTTTCGCTAAACTCAATGAACTAGCTTAAACTTAGCCGAAAAAAGTTAGAGCCATATTTGGCTATATGAACTTTTTAAAATAATAGGATACTTTAAATTCAGTTCAAATTGAGCTCAATTCAAATATATTTGGCTTAAATTGAATCCAACTCTAATAAGTTCTATCTGTCTGAATTATCAACTCTAATAATACTAAGACAAATTCTAAATAAAGGCACACGGTGAGGTTATTTTCTTCTGATAGTAGAATTTTCATGTTAAGAGTATTAAATAACATTATTATATATATTTGGTAAAATATTTTTATTATGTTTTTAATGTTTGGTTTGAATGGATAATTTGAATTGAAATTTATTTTTAAACTATTATATTCTTTCCTTTCTTTTATAAGAATGAAGTTATATAAATTAAAATGTACTTGTTGGGAAGCATATAGTGAATTTTTATTCATAACGGCTCATCAGGCAATAACATTTTAAGAAAATATTGCTGTTTATATCTCACTTTACAATATTTCATATGTCCATTATTTTTAAGAAAATAAATATTAAATAGACTCCAACAATTTATAAAGTCAGCTATTTTAATTTTTCTAATACTAAATGTTAAACCACATTAAAAATGGGTGAAATCACCAAAAATAAAAATAAACGCAGTTTGCCAATAATTCATATTTATTTTTTTATGTTGATAGACGTGCATTTTTTTTGAAAAAATTAATGATTTGGTCTTTGTAGTTTTGATTTAATTATAACTTAATCCCTGAACTTTAACTCATTATAACTTAGTTTCTGAAGTTTTGACTCCGTTGTAAATCAGTCTCTGAACTTTGTATCTTGCAATTTAGTCCCAAAAGTTTCAACCTCTTAAATATTTATCCCCATATTTTAAAAAAAATAAAATTAAAAAAATTAAAAATATTTCAAACTTTTAATATTTATAAATATTAAAATAATTTAGCAATTTAAGATATTAGTAATAAAGTTTAAAATATTTTAATTTTTATAACTTTATTTTTTTAAATATAAGGATCAATATTTAAGAGGTTGAAATTTTAAGGATTAAATTATAAAAGGTAAAATTCAAGAATTGATTTATCACCAAATTAAAATTTTAAAAATTGAATTATAATAAATTATAATTTAAAAATTGAATTATAACTAAATTAAAATTATAAAGATTAAATATTTTTTTTTAACAAATGATAGACGCGCATTTTAAGGACGTGGGTCTAAAGAAAGAAATAGATGGCGTTTTTTTTTCTTTTTTTACCAGAAAATGGATGGAGCTTACCAAGCATATTATTTGCCGGTGTAGGAGCTTGTGTCATTTCGAAAACGACACGTGTCCAATTACTAGGCATACGATTTCTAGGTCCACTTCAGCACATGAACACGTGGTGGGGTCTAAGACGTGAAAGGGTCTGTGTCACTGTGCGAAGGTGTGGGACAGCCCTAAACGAGGATCAGATGCACTAATATTCTCTTTTACCCCATTCCTCTTAATTTCCCATTATGTAATATTCCTCAGTTTTATTTGTATGATAGAAGAAATATTTATTTTAATACGAGTATTATTTATAAAAAATTTTAATTATTATCATATTCATCTTTTTGAATAAACATTATTGTATTAATCTTTACCTTTTTTAATTTTTTTATAGATATTTTTATTAAAAATAATATTATTTAAAATACAGTTAGATATTAAATGTGAATAAAAATAAAAAATTAAACCTCAATTTGTCACTCGTTCCTTTGATTAGAGTTAACCCCTGTTGTTTCATCTTTACATTTCAGTCTCTATTAAATATTGAGAGCTATTGATGGTTCAAGTTTTTAAAATAAACTTTAATATTAATATATTTCCTCCATTAAAAAGTATAAATCATCTTTAACCGAATTTTATTCATAATAAAATAATTATTTATATTTAAATTAATTTTATTTTTTTATATTTCTCCTTATTTAATGAAATATTTCACCCTAAAAAATATAAAATGATTTATTTAATAGGGATACTTTTAAAAATAAAGCAATAATTACACCTTAAAAAATTAAAACTATCTTATATTTTTTAGTATATAATCCCTCAAAAAATATTTTATATTTTTTAATGGAAGGAATATAAATATAGAGATTATTATAAACTTTATAATACAGAATGCATTTAGAAAAATATTTACTTTTAATGTTTGTAATTTTATCCCAAGCAAAAACATTTTCTATAATACTCACCCCCCGTTACGTTTTATAATCTTTTTTGGAGTGATTTTACTTTTAACATTATATGATGTTTGCAAAAGAAATAATACATTGATAAGCCTTACCCCAAAACATCTTCATAACACAATATAGAGAGGAAAAAAATGAAGAATTTGAATTCAATAAATGTCTTAATTTTTCTCACACAGTGAGCTTTTGGTTTTACATGATACTATAAAGCTCGTCGATTCAATTGAACAGCTATTGAAGATGTAGGCACAATATATATAAAAGAAGTATCAAATCACAACTCTACCTTATACTGTAAAGTATATTTTAATCTAATAATTTATATGATTGTAAAAAAATGATTGAAATGCATCCTTGTGAAACTACCCTTTAACTCTCCATTTTATTTATTTATGCTCAAGTATAAATTTTTGAGTATTGATACATATTGCTATAATATGAATACTTATTAAGTAAGAAGATTTAAGACAATCATAGAATAGCCAAGGATTATAATCAAATGAAGGATAATTTTAAAAGTTCAAGCCTCTTGTATGAAAATTGAATAAATTTTCTATTTTACTTGTATTTAAATAAAAATTTTGAATTTATATTATATTCTTTTTCATATTTAATGACTTTGAATATGAATAATATATTTGATCAATAAATAGAAGTAATATTAAAAAAACTTTAAATGACTTATAATAAGGATTAGAGCTCAATTTTTTTTAAAAAACAATCTTTTAAAAAGCACGTAAAATAAGAGAATCAACATCAATCTATTTATCCTTATTTTTTAGTATAAGAGAAACTATCATATGCTTTATTGTTTTTTATAAGAAAAACTACAAATTTCAAAAAATATTTATTACACTTTTCTCAAACTTCCCCTCATAAACGGATAGTATCATGAAATTAGAGAAAAATAAATATTAATTACAATGATATTTTAATCTAAGATATAATATGACTTTCAT